TATATATATATTTTCCCTCTATTGCTTTGTTTTATGTAGAGTATAGGCAGTGGCTGGGTAGAGGCTCGGAATTCCAGAGGAAATGTGGGCCTGGTGCCCGAGGACTATATTGAGGTAAAAACCATCCTAATCATCAGCTTTGTTTTTGTGATTTCACTTCTTTATTTAGAGCATATTGTATGAAGTTAGAAAACTGTGTGGGATTATTTTTAGTACTCTAGAGAGGAGAGGAACAAAATGAAAGCAAACTTTTTTCTACTGTCTATCTAGACCACATCACTGAGCAGACTGTTATTCCATTTGGTGAGCTGATATACTAAAACCTGTATTTTTCTGATTTTCTTGTGCTTTTCCAGTAGCATCACATCATTAAAATCAAGGGAAATCATTGAATGCATGTGTGTTTCCTGAGCTGTAGTCTAATTAGAAGATATAAAATGTTACTGATTAAAGGTTTATGTATTTGGCATATTTTTATTCAAAATTGAGAATATTCCCACATGTTCTGTGCAGTATGTCTATCTTTGTACCCTAATTACCAAGATGTTTAACATATTCCCAGTGTGGCCTTCCTGTAGATATACAGTCAGCGTGCCTCAGGCGTAATGACATTTGAATGATTTTTTGTCATTGATTCATATGGAGGGAAAGTTTGAGTTTGAGTATACATGGACTGTAAAAGGCATGGACAGGATTTGACAAAAAAAAAAAACATTATTTCATAGTTTAATTTTTTACATACCAGGCTGCTTTTTTCATGAATATTTTTATGTGTATATTATTATGTTGGCAGATTAACCCTGGTTCCACACAAGCATCAAGTGACACACAAGCCACACAGTACATTGATGCTCACAATCAAGATTGCAACAGCAGTTCAGCAAACTCTCAGGTACCACATCAACTAAACCATCTGTATTACTCTTTGTTCATAATCTCATTTGAAGAAGTTGTGGTGAGCGTGTGCTGTATTAAGTTCTAGCTCAGATGTTTGAAATGTTGCCATATGAGTATCTGCTTGTTCCACAGTTCTTCAAATGAAATGTAAAGCAGGTCTCAGTAAAAAATAAGTAGCCACAACCAAGAAAAAAACCCACATCAGTTTTGCTTCCTCATTTTCACAGCCAACTTTTACTATAAATCCACACTCATTTAATGAGAATTCTGGTGAGCATACCATGCACAAAGGCCCTGTGTGTCATCTGCAGTTGAAATCCATTTCCTGTGAAAGCAGGAGAATGAGAGTAAATGTGCTTCATTATGGCTCGGGACATTAGGCATGAGGACCCGTCTCTCCCTCTCTCTTTCTGTCTCTTGTACTCTCTACCGCTCTTTCTCTTAGAAGGTTGTCAGATGTCCACACTTTGTGTTGTGCACAGCGTCATTGTGCATGCAATAGAATTTAAATGTGTAGCAGTTTACAGATAGATGAGAAGTGAAATCTATCTCACCATTAAACTTGGATCAGGCTCACCATCTTTTTAGGAGAGAATAAAATTTTAGGAAGAATAAAATCAGGACAATGCCTAATAATTAACTTTTTATTTTTATTTTTTACCAATGTAAAATGCACTCTCAGTTAGAATTTGGACACATGTGTAAGTTCCTCATGATCTTAATAGCCATTTGTTGTAAAGGTCTGTGCTTAAATGCTTGATATTACTCTTGTAGACAAATATAAACATATGAGCGTATGAACTTCTTCACAAAACCTAAATTCTAATTATTTAGATATTTTAGATATTTTTTCTTTAATCCGTGAATTGGATCGTGAAGGAAAAGTATTTAAAATAGTAGAAAATTGTTTAACATTTTTGGTTGCCATGATATTTCCATTCTTCCATTTGTGTCATTTCATAGTTTTGTGTCATTATAAAAAGTAAAAAGTAATATTAACAAAAAATGAATAAGTGTGTCTAATTAGACTGGTACTGTTCATGGATTCAATTTTTTGCTATAATTTGTGGTTCTTGTGTGATTATACAGATACTTAAAGTATAATTAAATTTTGCATTTAAATTCAATTTACTAATTGAATATACTCAACAAGGGAGTCCGGCCATAGATGTTACTCATTGGATGGCCATATACTGAATTGACCTCCATGAGTTGAAGCTGTTCAAGAGTACAGGCATCCTTGGTGGTGAAAAGATGTATCTAATGACTTAACGTTTCCATCAGCCTTCAGTGACTCGTTGACATTTAGAGTGATCCACAACACCAAAGTACTAATAACGATAAACACATGAGTAATGTTGTGCTCAGGGAAAATTAGTATAGACGGTCTTAATTGGTGAGGCCGGGAAGCGAGACAAATGGTTGTGCGTGGCTGGGAGCTAGTCTTTAGCAGCATCAAGGTCATGTCTATTGACTGAATTGGCCATTAAGTCTTAGACTAATGGACAGAGACGAACTCAAGAGCCTTTGGCCTTTTAGCTCTTAAAACACATCCAGGCCTTTTGTGGCAGATTTGAGAGAACTATATTTTTATACCGTATATTCAATTCATTTGTGACCATCAGCCATTTAAGAATAGAAACTCATAAATTGTTGTCATTGACTTTTTCATTTAGTAAACATATTAATGGTTTCTCCAAATGTTTTCTACGCTTTGAGAATCTCAATTAAGCAAGGTTATTTGTACTTCTTTTTAGTTATGCGATTCATGGTTTGTGAAGTAACCTCTAATATGGCAGATCGATTCTCATTATTGCTGTTTTACACTCCCTAGTAAAAAAGTAATATATTTAAAATACATTTATTTTATACTAAGTATAGTTCAGATCTATTAACATATTTACTTACATATCACTTGAGACTTAATGATAAAAATTGTATTTGGAGTACTACTTGTGCACAATGCAATCTTAATATTATGCCTAAAGTGTGTTTTAATATCACTATTGATGAGGATTGTATGATCTTTGAATAATATTGGTCTTTAAATGCAAGATATTTAAAGTGTACTTAAAGTATACTTGCAATAGTTCCACTTTAGCACAATCAAATATACTTCAGTGTATCTTTAGTTGGACCTCATCACTACTTCCGCACAAAAAGTTCATTAAGCACAAAATAACTTGTTCCAACTAAGCAGACTTTAAGTATACCTGTTTAGTGTACTAAAAGTACAATTGCAGGGTATTTTTATTAAGTACATTAATATGTAAATTAATTTGTAGTATACTTGGCATGAATAAATGTATTTCAAATACATTTTAGTATATTTATTTTTCACTAGGGCTGTTAATTCAAAAAATGTTTATAATTTGTTTCATATCATGTGCTTATAGTGAGTGTATAAATATTAAAATAATGTACAATAGAAAAACAAGTAAAATGCCAGCAAAAACGAATAATTCATGCTTTAAGCAGATGAAATGTTCAAGTGGAATGTGCGTTATTAGTAACAGTTGTTGTAGTGACTACTTAAGGAGCATCTTGAAAATATCTTTAGTTTACAGGAATATCTAAGTACTGAAATATCACGGCTGCATTGGTTTTAGGTGACATTGGCCAATCTGATTTGTATGTTATATTTCAGACATGGTGTCATGGAGTGAATGGAGACACACAAGCAAATATTATGTGAGAATTTGAATATAAACAAGGCAGCTTTATTTTGGTTACATGGCCAACCCAGCAAGAGTGAATCTCTGTAATAGTTATGATATACTGTATGAATGATATTGATGGAGCCTAAAAAAGGTAGTGGGTGGAAGGAAGAACCTGATGTTCCTTAAATTGTAGTGAATTTGGTTATTCATCATTTGAGCAGACACTTGAACAGTTCCAGCACAGGTATCGGTAGGAGATTGTGGGAAAGAGCTGATAGAATCCAGACTCAAAGTAACAACCTGTATAATTTAGGCAACTTCACTACTTACAATATGGCAAATCAAATGTATTAAGGGTCAGAATGGATGTAGATTTGTTCAAAAGAATCATTTAATGTTGGATTGTATGTGCCTGTAGGCGATTAATGGGAATGAGGCTTGGACTGCCACGACATGGTCCAACAACAACCCTGCGAACAACCTGAACCACGCTGAACAGGAACCAGCAGGCAATAATGGTAAGTGGAGAACATTTACAGTACAACCTCCATGAAACATTTATGATTATCTGTCTATAATTATCTTTACTTCCGTTCAAAAGTTTGTGGTCAATAAGTGTTTTTATCTAAAGACATTAATACTTTTAGTGTGCTTTCACACTTGGTTTGATTGCCTGTCCTGAGCCTGGGTTTATTTGATCTTTCCTCCTCCTGCCCCCTCTGGATTGTGTTCACACATTTTTTTTTTTGGATCCTAACCATGGTACGTTTGCGTCATCACCAGAGTGCCAGCTGTTTACCTCTGTTGTGGTTAACGACTATGCAGGAGAAGATGGTGAAATGAATTGATACCATTGCTTGCTTGGTACTTTTGGATTTAGAAAATTTTGTACTTTGGATTTTGACAATTTGCTGCCGCCGCCGCCGCCATGTCGTGAAGGCGCTGTGTGCTTCATTGTGAAAGCGAAACTACTTTGTTTGGCCTTCCAAAAGAGGACGATATCGCTTCGTCATGCCTGGAGCTGATCCGTGCTGGTCGCTGAGGAAATACTTCAACTTCCCGCTGTCGATCGCCAGATCGGCTTTCACCGTGGACGAAGCGGAGTCCAGCCCGGGGTCATCACATGTGGACGTAACATTTCCGTCACACGCTTGAGGAATTCGGCCAATCACAACGCACTGGATAGCTGGCCAATCAGAGCACTCCTCGCTTTTTCAGACCGATGAGCTTTGTAAAAATCAACACGTTTCAGAAAGCCGGGGCATAGAGGAGAAACAATAATGTACAGTATGTGGAAAATAAAACAAATTTCATTACACCAAATACACAAAATAATGTTCTTTTTAGCAGCATCATATGACCCCTTTAAAGTGCATTATAATAGAAAACAGTTCAATTGTAATAATATTGCACAATAGTAATGTATTTGTGACCAAATAAATTCAGCCTTGATGAGAATAAGAGGCAACTTCAAAAATGTAAAAAATAATCTTACAACCCCAAACTTTTGAATGGTAGCCATAAAACCAAGCTCAAGTTTAACCTCCTCCTGTGTGAAAGTGTATAGTGACGTATTTGTTATTATGGCACATGTACATTGTGTAACAGAAGCAGCTCATCAGCGATGTTGCTGCTTTACTGTCTACAACATTACGTCATGTTGTTTGTGTTATCTGCTTTGTTATGAAGACTTTGAACTTTCTCTTTCAGCACAACATAGATAAAGTCATAAATAAGCCCTTTATGTACTTTAGGTAGCCAAGTACTGTATGTGGAAGTAAGTGGCTAATTTCAGTGGGAAGGTATAGTCATCACTACAGTTGTCTTTGCCTGTTACACAGCAGAGTTGTTCTGAAACATGCTTCCCACAGCGAGAGTGGTATATGCACATTTGGTATATATACATTTGCATATATACCATAATGGTTTATATACATTTGCACAAGCAAGCAGAACCTTTTCTGGCCCCTCCATTTGCATTCCAGTATGAATACCCTTGTGAAAAAGAAGTACACTTTAGCATACACATTCAAAAATTGTGTATTATGGAAATAATATACATCAGTATGTAATTTCATGGTAGCTTTTATAGTCTTTTTTGAAAATGGTTAAAATGCACTGCTGAATCTTCTGAATCAGTATCTTGGAACGCAAAGGTTCTCTAGTATGGCCTCCTTGTATAAGGAGGAAATATTAATGTAAATAGGAAAAATAATGTTAGTTATGGTAATACTTTTGAAAAGATTTTTATGATGTGTAAAAATTGTGTCAGGACTTTGATATACACAGAAGTTTAGTTTTTCAGTCTGTTATTCTATTACTCTCTGTGATGGTGATTTTGTGTCACATGGCTGTAGGTTCTGTCTATTCCTTCGATGAGGAATGGGACGATGATTCCGATGATGGAAAGTCGACAGGCGGCTATGGAGGCTCACAGGCAGAAGAGGGCGGAACGATGCAGCGGGGCGGGGCTCACTCTACTATGAAATTATCCCTCAACAAGTAATGTTTTACTTTTGACAACTACCAATATTAATATTTCATTAATAAAATAAACTTTACAAATGTCAATCCCATCTTTTCCCATAGGTTTCCAGGGTTCTCTAAGACTCCAAATCCAGAAGTGTATCTGCTTACCAAGCACATATCTAAAGGAGATGACAGACTGCCAATTTATGTAAGTTATTTGACTTCGTCATGTGATTTGATCCCATGCATCAAGATTGATTAGATAGTTAGATAATTGTTCTGGATAAAAGAATAATCAAACAACCTTGGGTTTGTTTTAAGTGGTATGGTGAATGGATACATTAACAGGATGAATGTTTATTTTGCAGATGGGCGAGGTAGGTCCAGTATGGTTGTATCCACAAATTCAGTTAGATTGTGTTGTGGCTGATCCCAAAAAGGGGTCAAAAATGTACGGCCTGAAGAGCTACATTGAATACCAGATCACACCTAATGTAAGTTCCTTTGAAGCACTTCTCAAGACTACTTGAATAATATTGACTTACTGTCATTTTTTGCTAACAAGTCTTGGTTTATTTTTATGTTTAACTTTTTTTTTTTCAGACTACAAACAGACCAGTCAATCACAGATACAAACACTTTGACTGGTTATATGAGAGGCTTGTGGAGAAGTTTGCCTGTGCTCTGCCAATCCCATGTCTACCTGACAAACAAGTTACAGGTGAATAAAGCAAAAAGTAATAGTTAATTAGAAAAGCTTCTTGCACCACCTTGACATTTAGTTTTTTCATAATCACCAAAAAGTGTTTTTGGCTGGTAGACTTCCTAGCATCTGTCTTCTGTTTCTCTTTAGGCCGATTTGAAGAGGAATTTATCAAAATGCGCATGGAACGCCTGCAGGGCTGGATGTCCCGCATGTGTCGGCATCCGGTGATCTCAAACAGTGACGTTTTCCAGCTCTTCCTTAACTACAGAGATGAGAAGGTGTGTCTGTTAAAATATGTATATTAGTAATAAACATGTAGTTTAATATGCTGGTGCAAATGCATAGTCAAATAATATATATAACAATATATATAAACAGTTGAAGAGCTCTTCTGTAGAGTATTGCCATCTGTGTGCTGGTATTGAGATCACATCCTTAAGAAGTGTTTTACAGTGTTATATATTAACTTTGACTAGTGAATACTAAGTTCAGCATAGCAGTTTGGGAGTCTTGTAAGTTATATTTTATCTGTTGTTTCTACTAGGAGTGGAAACTAGGGAAGCGGAAAGCAGAAAAAGATGAAATAGTGGGAGTGAAAATCTTCTCCAACATAGATCCAGAGCTCCCAGAGTTAGATCCTGCTCAAGTGTGAGACTATATTTAACTCCTTTGATAACTTTATCCTAAAATTAATTCAATACATTTTTAATATATCGTTTTTAATTATATAAAATGATTGTCTATTATTTATATAATATTTTAATATGAATAGTCATTTAAAATTGTTGTAATAATTACAAATTATGATTAATATTAATTAATAATTATATATAAATATATACTGCCATTCAAACTTTTGGGGTCAGTAAAATTTTTCTTTTTGAAAGTAATTGATAAGTTTATTCAGCATTAAATTGGTCGAAAGTTACAGTAAAGGCTATTATGTTATATTAACAAGAAAATTCTATTTTACAAAAATGCTGCTCTTTTGACCTTTCTAAGAATCCTGAAAAAAATGTATCACCATTTCAACAAAAATATTAAGTAACACAACTGTTACAGCATATTAGAATGATTTCTGAAGAATCATGTGACACTGAAAATTCAGCATCACAGGAATTATTTGTACTTCAAAATATATTAAAAAAGAAAACGACTTCTTTCCTAAACATAAAGTCTTACCAACCCCAAATTATATATTATATTATATTATATTATATTTATTATAATGTAATATATTTGTTTAATAAAACAATTGTCTTATTTGATGTGATTTGTAGGGAGCAGAAATATGAAATGTACAGCCAGTTTACTAGATCTATGGACAACAGTGTTAAAGAACTACTGGCTGTTGGGCATCTTCACTGGAAGAGATGTACAGGCCGTGAGTTCACATGCTATATTTTCAAGTACAGTATATTATCAAGTGCAGTCAAATGCTATATGTAGATTATTTCATTACTGTTACCATCTTGTGATTTGTCCATTGTAAAAATCTTCTGCTTTTAAACCAACAGCATTACAAAAGGAGTATCGGCAGATTGGAAAAGCATTTCAGAACCTTTCATCAGTTTTCAACACTAGTGCATACCCAAGTAGGAACCTGGAGCTTTGTTCTTTAAAATGCTCTCATAGACATGTTTTATATTACATATAAAAATATTTTTGTATTATCATGATTATAATCTCAAATTATGTTTTGTTGATGTGTTTTTTTGTACCTTATTTTAAGGGGAATACACTCTGAAGGAAGCATTGACTGCAACAGGAAAAACGTATGAGGAAATAGCAGAAATCGTTGCAGGACAGGTATCAGAAGTACAATATTTCCTCAAATTAATACTTCAACAAACCGTTCAGTCCTTGAACTTCTACCAGTGCCATTCACTCATCATTAGCATGTTTCCTCACATCCTGTGCTACTATTTCCACAGTTTGATAGAATTGTAACCACAAGGCTACCCAGTGATAGCAACATCCACGACTGCTGTTTTTAGCATTGTCCACAAGTTTAAGCTTTTGTTTTAATAAGATAAACTTTGTCTCTCAGCCAAAAAAAGATCTACACTTCCTGATGGAAACAAACCATGAATACAAGGGACTACTGGGCTGCTTCCCTGACACAATAGCAGTTCACAAGGTATAAACCGTTCACCATTTGCCTTTCTACATTTAGTGGTTTACTGTTTTGTTTTGTTTTATTTATGTGTATGTTTAAACAAATTTTTTTTCCCTCAGGCTGCCATTGATAAAGTAAAAGAGGCTGATCATTTGGTGGTGATGAATAAGATTAGCCAACAAGATAAACTCATCATGGAAAAAAACCTCAGCACCATGTCTTATGCATTGCAAGGTATGTTAGTAAAGTGTTGTCTATCATTGAAAGACCTGGTAGATGGTATTTTATATACGTGCACCTGTGTGCTTAATTGTAGTGTTTGTCACACACGTGTAATCTTAAACTTGCCATCTGTTTCTCTAGCGGAGATGAATCACTTCCATAGCAACCGTATCTATGACTACAACAGACTCGTGCAGTTCTACCTGGAGGAACAGGTGAAATTCTATGAAACGGTTAGTGATGGGATACTAGTGTGTACGGACACGGTAAACATGGCATACGTAATGCAACATACTATGTATGTAACGTTCTTGTGTGTTCTCATTGGTTAGATTGCTGAAAAGCTGAAGAAAGCGCTTGGTCAGTATACCACCATGTGAGGACTCGCTCTGAACAGCAATACTCATCAAACTGTGTCAGTTCTGTGGGATTTAAAGAAAGGATGCTGCTTTTGCTTTTTTTAATGCTAATTCACAATTAACCATCTTGTTTCCATAAAATTCTGTATTGCTGCATTGTGTCATATATATAAAATATAGGTTATAAGGGAACAAACTATGTTAGATGTGCAAATCATCATTCACCAAATATTGTGTTCACAGAAACAGGTAAAATACAAAGCTTAACTGTTATTTAAGCTAATGTAACACTTCCCGACGTTAAAAGAATAGTTCATGCAAAAATGAAAATTTGCTCACCCTCAGGCCATCCAAGATGTAGGTAAGTTTGTTTCTTCATCGGAACAGATTTTGAGAAATATAGCATTAAAGTATATCACTTGCTTTTACATCACTAGACGTTAATTGATGGACTGGAGTGATGTGGATTACTTGTGATGTTTTTATCAGCTGTTTGGACTCTTATTCTGACGGCACCCATTCACTGCAGAGGATCCATTGGTGAACAAGTGATATAATGCTAAATTTGTCCAAATCTGTTCCAATAAAGAAACAAACTCATCTGGCCTGACGGTGAGTACATTTTAAGCAAATTTTCATTTATGAGTGAACTACTCCTTTAAGACATTTAATTCTCTCTGTGTAAATCGAGGTCTCTCAGGGACGCGTTCACTTAGACTGGGCCATCTAAACCAAATGAGTTTATTAACATCTTAAATTGTCTGAAATGTTTTTATTTTCTTGTAGAATGTGAAATGAAATATGACAGATATTTAGTGGTATGTATTGGATAAAAGCAATAAGGACATTGTCTTTTACCTGTGGTAAAATGTTCTATGCAAAACAAAACTAAAAATGTCTCATTGTCACACTCAGTGTATAAAATGTGTTTTTAACTAGCCATCCAGTGTGTAATAAATCTTTCTTTATACCTTTCCAAGTCGTGAGTTGTGAGGAGAGTTGTGATGGCCGTGAATGCTCTGCGTTTTTTGGCCTTGTGTCACAATTGATTTTGCAGTGCTAGCAGGAGCACAAAAATATCCTTTTTGAGAAGATGGTAGAATTATCCAGTATTTATGCTAGCTCAGGGTCCGTTTTCTTTCTTTGGAAGAGGAAACAAATCTCTGGCCTTAGAGGAAATGAGCATGATGACCTCAGTTTGCGAGAGTTCATGTGAGCGTGACCTCAAGCAAAGAAACGCACTTTCTCCTCCAAAACTATTTCCTTCCCTTAATCACGAGGCAGCTTCAGTTTGGACTTTTTTGGACAGAGTCCCTTATTTTGTCTGGGACTTTGTAATGCAAATAATCATCAAATCATGTGATGCCCCTCAAAACCTCTTTCATTCCAGTGCCACGTTCATTTGCTGGTCCGTTACACCCTTCCTGTTAGTGTGTGATAGGCAGAAAGAGTCTCTATGGATGGTGCAGATATGTTTATCTCATGGTAAAGTAGTCTGAAGCTTAAAGCAGAGAGGTAGAACATGGAAAGATAAAATAGCAGGACATTTGTCAAAAGCTAAGACATTTTTATACATTCTCAAAGTAGTTACAAAATGTAAACAATGTTGTGAAACATACATTTAGGCATTAAAAGGCTGTACATTTTGGGAGTGTTTGAGCACCTGTTGCCTCTAAATTACACAGATTTACTGAGGCTTAAACAGCAAACATATTTGCATTTGCCATGTGTGGAAGGATATCTATTAATAGAGCTTTCACAAATGTTCTCATGAAATACAGAGACTGGCTGCAACAAACCCCTTAAGATAATACATTTTTATTGAGAATACCCTTACAATTATTACACTTTTTTTGTTTGTTTGGTAACACTTTACAATAAGGTTCATTAGTTAAACATTAGTTAATGTATAAACTAACATGAACTAACCATGAGCAAAACATTTGTTACTGTATTTACTAATCTTCACTAACGTTAGTTAATAAAAATACAGATGTTCATTGTTAGTTCATGTTAGTTCACAGTGCATTAACTAATGTTAACAAGATTTTAATAATGTGTTAGTAAATGTTGAAATTAACGTTAACAAAGATTAATAAACGCTGTATAAGTGCAGTTCATTATTAGTTCATGTTAACTAATGCAGTTAACTAATGAACCTTATTGTAAAGTGTTACCGTTTGTTTAATATCAAGATTGGTTTGATCCTTTTAAATAATAAGTCATTTAAATTAAGTAATTAAGTTATTTAAGTATTAAGAATCAATTTAATTTCATTAAAAAAACATAATAAATTAAAAAGGTTTTCTTAAAGGAGTAGTTCACCCAAAAATAAAAATGCTGCCATCATTTACTCAGTTTCCACTTGTTCCAAATCTGTATGAGTTTTTGTTGTTGTTGTTGTTCAAAAGAAGATATTTTGAAGAATGTTGGTAACCAAATAATTTCACGGTAGCCATTGACTTATATTGGCTATAGTACAGAAAATACTATAGAAGTCAATGGCTACCATCAGCTGTTTGATTACCAACATTCTTCAAAGTATCTTTTTTGAATTTAACAGAAGACAGAAACTCATACAGGTTTGGAACAAATGGAAGAGGAGTAAATAATAAATTTTCATTTTTGGGTAAACTACCCCTTTATGGTTTTTGTTGCAACTGGTCACAGGACTTATAAAAATTGTAACAGAAACATCAATTAACATAAAGTATATGTATCAAAATTATATTAAGTTATGAATTATTTCTATTTAATTAATAATGATTATCCAAATCAAATACAATTGTTTTTGTACAAGTAAAAAATTATCTATGATAACCTAATAATGCATGTTTATTATAATATAATAAATTGATTATATTAGTTACAATACATTGAATGCTTCAGTATGTCAAAGACCAAGATTATGAGACACATTTGACCAAAATGAGTAATGTGGATATTTTGTCTTGAATGTCCAGATGAGACTTTCCCTTTAACCACAGGTTACGTCACTGCAGTATTGTTTTACACAGGTCCTAAAGCTGTGTTATTATGGGGAGAGGCGTGGTCTGTAGGTCCGTGGACGGATCATCATGCTCACCTTCTTCAAGGAGTAGTAATCTGAGTCCTTCCAAGAGTACCACACAATCCCATCAGGCCCCAGAAGATTCTTCCCTTTGGCAGAGTAACGCCCCCCCCCTGGTGGTCAAGATAAACATAGGACACAGTTAAGATGGTTGGGCTCATATTTTATATCTTGGAATGGTTTAATTTTTCCTTCATTTGTGTAAGACCTTATAATACACTCCATTGAGGTTGGCGAAGAAGCACTGATGGTACCACCAGCCTCCGTGAGATATCTCAGCACAGATGTCATCTGTGTCTGGAGTGCTGAAGCTTTGCAGCCAAACGAGTCCTCAACTGTACCACTGAATCCTGATACATGGAGACGATAGAGGTTGTCCTCGTTCTCAATCCTGCCAAAGCAAGAATTTTTGCTAGAGTGGTTTAGAAAAATGCAGTCCATTCAAGATGTAGATGAGGGTTTTTTTCTTCTTCATCTGAACAGATCTGGAGAAATTTAGCATTGCATCTCTTGCTCACTAATTGATTCTCTGCAGTGAATGGGTGCCGTCAGAATGAGAGTCCAAACAGCTGTAATTCACACAACTCCAGTCCATCAAGTAAAGTCTTGTGAAGTGAGAAGCTGCATGTTTGTAATAAAGAAATCCATCATTAAAGATGTTTTAACTTTAAACAATTCATTGGCACCCTTTCACTGCAAAGAATCCACTGGTGAGCAACTTTATCTGTTCAGATGAAGAGAAAAACTCGTCTGTCTTGGATGGCCTGAGGGTGAGTAAATTTACAGCACATTTTGCTTGGATGAGTTAATTAAGTAAGAGTACAAGCAGTTTAAGCAGTGCTTGAGTAAAGGACACAAACACTCACATATACTGTATATTATTTTTAAATAAAAAGACGTCACGATGACCAAAGAAATATGTGCGGTCTAAATGTACAAAAGAGGTCTAAGAAATTGTGGAAAGAAAATGTATGCCTTGTGCTTGGATGAGTTAAGTAAGAGCACAAGCATTCAGTTTAAGCAGTGCTTGAGTAAAGGACCCAAATACACACAATCTCACATATATATATATATAATATATATAAAAATACAATATATATATTTTTTTTTTTAAATATCAGTAATGAAACAATTTAGTTAAAAACAAATTTGAGCTTTAATCATTTATCATAAGAAAATAAACAGACATCTTTAACAAGCAAACTGGCCTTTTTTTTAAACAAAATTTAAATTGCATATGTTCCATTTTTCCAGGGAGGAATCACATAAAACCAACAAGCAAGTTTTCAGTCCTTGTCCACGCACATGGTAAACATTTGTTCCTCTTCAGTTTACAGTATAATGCTGGTATTTCAGGATAAATACTATTAAAGGCAGTGACAAAAAGCGTTTGTCAGTGGAAATGAGAATAAAAGACATTTTTACCTCAATATGAAGCTCTAAAACAAAGTACAGAAAAACACAAAGGCATTCAAAGGGAACCGTCAGACTATATAACATTAGCAAGGCTGTTCAGTGTTTTATTGCTGATTCAATTTGAACTACATCAGTATTACCATTAGATATTGAAACGTCACGTTTGAATTTGGTCTACCAATCAAATGTATTTATTCTGTATTTGACTTTTGAACGCCTGATGTCCGCATTCACCTCCACTCTTCACTTCGTTCTGGCATAATCTGGAAATGGTCACGCAAAGAACAATCTTCGATAAGTAAACATGTCAGCTATTCTAAAAAAAATGTGAGAGAGGGGCTCAAAAAAAAGAAAAACGTAAAAGACAAACAGCAGATAAAACATCGTCAGTAAAATCCCCAGCTATCAGGTTATTTTACTAAAGATGATGATGGAGTAGAAGTTGTGAAACAGCAAGTGGACCGGACACATGGAGCAGATAAAAACAGCGCCATCGTCCACACAGATTTTAGGTTAGTTTGATTATTAACTTGATGGATGTATTTGGCTTTTTGTGTTTGAACAAACTCTATATATTCGCTTAAGGGTTGGGAAATAACAAATGTCAATCGTTTTGCGCGTCATGATGTAAGCAAGCTTAAACGCATTTAAGCATTGTGGTTTAAAAACAAATGGTTTTAACCAGGGGTGTCCAAACTCGGTCCTGGAGGGCCGGTGTCCAGAAGAGTTTAGCTCCAACCCCAATTAAACACACCAGATAATCAAGCTCTTACTTGGCATACTAGAAACTTAAAGGCAGGCGTGTTGAGGCAAGTTGGAGCTAAACCCTGCAGGACACCGGCCCTCCAGGACCGAGTTTGGGCACCCCTGGTTTTAAACTATTCGTGGACATTAAGCAGCGGGGCAGAATTGTTGGTAAATGCGCGCGTTAAGACGGTTTCAGCCTGATACGCATGGCACACCCGTGGCCTGCTTGTACAGCGCCTGACTAAACTTGAGTTCTTTTTCG